CAGACTCTGCAGTCTCATTCTATGTACACTCATTTACTTGTTCCTGTGGAACAACAGACATAGGCCGCACGGTCAGGCGTTTGTCCTAAAGGATTTATGAATACCATCATGCGTGACTGAACACCAGAACGATTAAGCCAGTCGCCAGTGCAGTGACTTCACACCTAGCTGAAATAAGTCACACTGTAGACATGTTTGAGGCTTCCCGACCCCCGTATAAAGTTCTTGGGCGATTATCGAGGCAGGTTTGCTGTCGGATGCTGGTCACAGCAGAAGTGGTGGGCACAAACCCTCTCTGTGTGCCCAAAAGCAAGTTGTACAAGAGCTAAAGCCTCCCTGCCCCCCCCCCCCCGCACACACACACATCGTATCACGACTAATCTCGATGATCGGATGAGTAGACAAACAAACATGATCGTAGTGAATCTGATTTCCGATCTCGTTTCTATTAATCTATAATTTGATTTGATTTGATTTTCCCAGGAAAATTTTATTCTCAATTAGTGATATGCATTGACATATATTGTTATGAATACCAATCTCTGAAAACCAGCTTGTTCGCCACTCTGTTATCTTGTTTGAACAGTCATTCTATCATTTATATATTTGCCAAGTAAACTGAGCTTCAGAGGAGGTATGACCCACCCCTCCAATAGTTCCCGTCACTTCTCAGTGTTGTATGCAAGCGAATGTGGATTCAACAGATCTCACATCCTATCTCTTTAAAATACGGTTTTTGTTCCAGGATGATCAATATCCTATGTCTTCCAAGCTCATATACCAGAGATGAGATGAAAAGAAATGATATGAGAAATGGACGTTTTTTGAATAGAAGTTTAAATTGAACACAGAAAGCAATTAATGAAATATACTATCGTATTTACTGCAGTACGCCGTAAAGGCAAGTGTGTCACCCGTGCTAGTGATGGTGCCGCGGATAATTACCTTCATTTCCACCGACCAAACCAGAAAACAAATCGCAGCATTTCACACTGGAACTTCAAACGAGTTCATGTTAAATTAACGGATTATCAACCAAATAGAATAAATGTGTGAGGCACATTTACAGTGGTTTGATAACAACAAAGGTTTCGAACGTATCAGCTTCGGGGTGTCCTTCTTGTCAGTTGAGATCTTTATACTATTCTACTTCTGAATATATCCACTGTTCCTGTCAAAAATCTCCATACATCAGCTTATATTGATTGCCAATAGTAATGGCCACGAAAGCGCTGGGCGTAAGACAATGTCATGTTTTTTCTCAAGATGCTACTAGTGTTCATTGATAATTGATTGTTTGCCATTGGCCTGAGCAACGTAGCACTATCACGCCATCCAGCAACTCATGCACATTTCTTTCATTTTATAAAGATTATTGTACCGTGAAACATATATTCTTTATTTTTCGTTTTTTTTCTATTGTTATTTCATTCTGCGTGACGAAGAGTATATGTTTTTAACTGAAATGTGAGCATATATGCTTGCACAAGTTATACAAATGCAAATGCAAAAACTAAAATTATGAACGCACTGCGATCTAGGCTATAACATAACTGCTTTATTCTTTCCTCATTGATACATCTGTGAATTTGCGTATGACCGCAGATTGTCTCATTCTCTATTTCAATAAACAACTTTTGGTTCAGATTTCTGTCAACCGATTGACAAGCAAGCGTCACCCCGTTAAAGCTGACCACATCAGAACGCATGTTGCACTTTGCAAAAACTGTGCCACGTAGAGCCCCTGCTCTCCGTCTGTCTATCAGGCTCCATGCTCTCATTTGTTCTCACATTTTCTTTGCGCATTAGTGTGTGTATGTTTGTATAAATCTTCACATGCACACATCGGTCGTGTACCAGCATGTTCAAGATCGACCGACCGATCTCAGTGAAGCCTACCGTATCACCATTATACTCCTTCGTAGTACTCAAGAGGCCGTCTCATCATGATGGTTCACTGGTGTGTGTGTGTGTGTGTGTTTATGCACACTCATGTGTTTGAGTGTGGCTGTGGATGAGTCAGTTGCAGTCTTCTCGGTAAACCACGAGGGGGGGGGCGGGGGGCGGGGGGGG